AGATAACACAATATATATGTCTTTATTTCACAAATTAACAATTATTTTAGTCAGAAATCTGAAATAGACCACCCACTCCTTCACAGTAGTCACCAAATAGTCAATGTATTGTGCAAAAAAAAATGGTTATTTTTTAGGAGCTCGGAGTAGCAGCGTACGAATACTTGAGCAACATTGTGCATTAGGTACGACTTCTAGCTTTTTCGGCATCAAAATGATTGTTGCTTGCTCCGATTTTCATACTTCTAGTGGATAGACGATAATCAATTTTTAATTACGTAACGATTGTTCACTTCAATCCCTACAAGTTGTCTCTATTTCAATGGAAAATAAATCCTTTGCGTGAAAACTACTAATAACACCCTCTCCCTGCTTCACAATAAGTAACAGAAACGCCGAACGTCCAAAAACATTTGTATTCTTCACCGTCATTAACTGCCATTTCAAAAAAACTATCTTGAAAAAAAAAACAATACGCAGATTTTTTTCCGATTAACAATACTTCCCCCACTTTATTGAATCAAAATTTCGGTTCGCAGTGACAGATCATGACTGGTTCGCATTGACGTTTACGCGATCGGCTTCAGAGCTAGCTGGCGCCTCTCTCTTGGCTAATCACTAGCTTTCACTTCCCAGAACCACACTAAAAACAATTACGACACGTGCTTCTACAAGCACTTTCAAGTTAATTCACTTTTAAAGATGATATTTACTTAAACAATATCATTTGCATCACTAAAAACGCGAGCCGCGAATAATTTCGTAAGCTGAAACTGTTTTGTTTACCTTTTTTCTATACACCACATTACGAAGGTGTGTGTACGAATCCATCTATCATCGTATCCAGTGTTGTCAATTTAATTGACACAAAGTGTTTAAAAAACAATGTTTTTATTGCTTTTGAAGGTTCTTCAACTGTGTTCAATTAAGAAACCATCACTAATACAAATTAAAAACAATTTCTTATTTTGATTTTCCTGAAAAGAAATGGAAGTAAATAAACCTACAAATCTTCTACAGAAAACATATTTGTCATTTTGGTTGCACTGGTCGAAGCCATCAGCTGATATTAAAAAGGCGAGAAAAGAATGATGTAAAAACATAAACATACACGATAACAAAAAACGATCTAGCGGCCAGTTCACATTTACCTACTTTCGACTTTGAGTATAATCACGATCATATTCATCTACTTTTGGGTGTAACTGACTTAATTTTGGGTAGAAAGCGAATTTTCAATTCCATAAGATTTAAACACATCTTATTTTGGCTTCCTGCAATAAAGAGTCGAGATGTGTGAAAATAACTTATTTTTGGGTACTTTTTTCTTACCATGTATCTGGAGGTTTGAGTGCTGGAATCATTTTTGGACCGGTCGTGTGTAACCAAAGTGAACAAAGTGTGGCTTTGAATTAATCAACTACTATGATTACTTGACTTGGTTGGCCTTGATGGTATGATATTTTTCTGTATAGAAAGGGATGTCTTTGGGAGGTTGTAGATCGTTAATTTTGGCAAATTGAATAGAAATGTAATAATGGTGTCAATTGTGGATGATAAATAGACATTCGACCTATTAATAACGAACTCTAGCAGCTATGTTTACGGTAATTGTGACACAATGAGCTGGATTTCCGAGGTGAAGCAATCACTCACACAACCACTGTACGATACACGCAAGTAGTGACGTCACTACTTGCGTTTACGTTGATTTTTTGGTTTACTAATACAACCCTATTTCACGATCTGCGTCACCTCTCTCTGTACCTCATTGATTGTGACAGTGCATGATGTACACTCACACCCCTACAGCATCAATGATAATCATTTCACTGACACATAGAAACGAGAGAAAAAAAGCGTGACGTATCGTATCACCTAAGTGCTCGAATAAAGTGGTTAATTGCTTTTATTCCTTTGGTTTGTTTTTTCCGTCGATCTTGTTTTCCGTGCTGAGCACCAATGCTACCGACGTGCCAGGAAGGCAGCTCCCACACCTGGACCCTACCTATCGATCCATCAACTCATGAACCGGGGACCAACGGCTTTACTTCCCATCCGAAGGAAGGCGTGATCAGAGATGTTATGCCTCAGAACATCCCGGCGGCGCCGACTGGTATTGAACCCAGGCCTGCTGGGGTGAGAGGTAATCACGCTTACCACTACACCACCGGCGCCGTTGGTTAATTGCTTTTGTAAACATACATGTCAATTGCTGATTTCTCACGAATAAAAGAAAAATCTCGTGAACAAACTATACCAAATGATAGAGAAACCATTCATCTACTTGTTGGTGTTTGTTTACAAAAGCAATTTCGCCCACGAAGTCCTCTAATTAACAGTTATCTTATAATTAATAGTGACTTTCGCTCAATTAAATTTTGCATTCCTTAGCCCTCATCACCTTTAATTGGTGCAAGGGTTGCTCAAAAATTATGAATTCTAAATAATAGAAATAGAACTTAAAAAGAAAAACGGTGTGCCAAGAATATGTCTCATTTATGTATTCCATCGCGTAATCTTCTCTATCGAATGCTACATAATACACATTACCACATGCAAGGATACGTTCATAGAAAACGATCCAAAATTGGTAGAGGAACATTTGAGGGTGGTTCAAAAAATATCAATTCTGACCCAGCTCGATTTTGATTCCAATCAAGCGATACTATTGAATATTCTTATAATTTTAGTAAGTATAAAAGTACAAATTGCAAGGAAATCGTGGGTGAGTGGAGCAAAAATATTGTGCATTTCTCACCATATGGATAGGGCACAGGAAAGTGGGGGCAATGTGGCACCCGCTTAAAAATTAACTTATTGAACATATTTTACACAAAATCTGTTGCAGGCTTAATGCTTTGAGCCTAAACAAATACTTTTCTCTTGAGCAAATATTCGAAAAATGTTAGACAAGCTCAAAATGCCAAAACTGTTATAAGATTTCTGATTCAGAAAATAAGGTCTATCAGTAGTTTCTTATAACTTATCGTTGATATTCCTTCAGCAGCTTTATAAATGGTCATTGGTTTCTTATATGACACGATGTTTTTCAAGATTTTAATAAATATGAAAGATTTTCTTAACAAAATATTACTTTTATCGGGGCATTGCGAGAGAGAACAGAGAACAAACGTCCAGCTTCCACCAGAATGTTGTGGTAAATGGCGTCGACAGTGCCGAAAAATTAGCTCTTCCAGCAAATGTAGACAGTTTCTTATGGGAATTTTCGGTGGAGTGAAAGGAAGTACAAAGTCCGCCATGTTTCACGCACAGTCTGCCGCTTTCTTATGGATTTTCTTATAGAGATTGCTGACGTTTGTCGTACGTAGTGTGCGTCACGTATACGTATACGCAAAATGTTTTCATCGGGAAAAAAAACTTCATAGCGGAAAATTTTCCCGATGAAAACAAATCACTTACACAATCATACTTTAGCAATCTCTATAGGAGTAAAGAGCTAGAGAGTCGCCGTCAACGCCAAATATATGTGGGAACGTCGCCGTTACGTGGCGCTAGCATCTCCTGATTTTCTCTATAAATTTTCCACTTTCGACCAATTTGGCGCTAGTATCGATCAATTTTCGGTTGAAAATTACCACTCGGCGCTACCGGCACTTAGTGTCTATTGTAAGTTGTGCAACGCCAGCGCCATCATATTGTCAAAGAGGGGTTTTAAGTGGGGAAGTCGCTGTTAGTGGAGCTTAAGTCAAATAGGAATCTTTACACACGTTTTTAGAGAAATTTTGTTCGGTTACAGTTACAGTTACAAGGACCCTCTGTTCGGATATGGGAAATAAAACCATTGATTTAGTATCATGTTTTTGCTGTACTTTTTAAATCAGTTTTCCCTTCATATTGTTCTCTAGTGATTTTTGGTTTGTATTCTTTTACTCATTTGCTGAATGATTTTTTTGCTGTATTTTCTTCTTCTTCTTTCATGGATGATGAGATATGTATTTATAATTAAAAATTGCTTTTCCACATGTAGTTTTCATGCTTCTGTGTGATGCTGATTTTTTGTTGTTGTTCCGTTTTGCGAGTGTGAACTATGTATTTAGATAAAATATATGAACATGTGATTGACACTTTTGATCTGAAATCATTGTTTTTTTTCATAATTTAATGGTAATGGTGATAGTGGATTCTGTTTTTTATTAGCTACAAATAGTTTTTTTTTTTCCCTTTTATGTTGGATCTATAAATTCGGTCATAGTTCGGTTTTGTCTATCGTGGTTGGGTTTTCTGAAACGTGCTTCGTGACACTTTTGCGATAATCTTTGTTTGTGGATGGTTGAGTGATTTGATGATAGTTTTTTCATCGTAAATAATTTATTAAATTATTTATTTTTCCTACAATCAATCAGCAAATCTTGCACAGCGAAAAGGGCCTACTCGGAAATAATAAGCGAATCCAATAGAAACTAAGCGATTGTTTCAGCGATCAGGAACCCTCAAAAGAGTGATGAGGGTGAAAATTTTCACCGTGAATCATAGGAAGAAGAAAATATTTTCACCTTTCCTGAATAATTTATCCCCCGCAGGTGCTTGAAATCATTATCCACGTGGAATATTTTGTTTTCTGTATCGGATTTGCTTCCATATATATTTTGATGAGACAAATTAAGATTTATAATATATTCCCTGCGGTTACGATTTTTCGGATTTTTAATGTGTGGTTATTTCAGCTGTAAATCAGTTTAGATCTGTCACAGAGAACATACGTTGAGGCTCGAACAAAATTTCTTTAAAAACTTGTGTAAAGATTCCTATTCGACTTAAGCGTCACTAACGGCGACTTCCCCACTTAAAACCCCTCTTTGACAACATGATGGCGCTGGCGTAGCAAAACTTACACTAGACACTATGTGCTGGTAGCGCTAAGTGGTAATTTTCAACCGTGAATCTATCGATACTAGCGCCAAATTGATCAAAAGTGATAAATTTATAGAGGAAATCAGGAGATGCTAGCGCTACGTAACGGCGACGTTTTCACTCACGACCTATGGCTCACTGACTCGTATCCGGACCTCTGGAAACAAAGCCTGGTAGTGCCCATTCCGAAGAACAACGCGGCGAGTGGAGAAGCCTCCTCCTTTAGGCCGATTGCGCTCACTTGCTGCGCGGCAAAAGTGATGGAGAGAATGGTAAATCGTCGACTTAGGCAGTTCCTGGAGTCTAACAGTCTCCTTGACGAACGGCAGCATGCATTCCGGCAAGGACATGGCTCCTCCACTTACTTTGCAGCCCTCGGGAATGTACTCAAGAAAGCCCAGGACAACGGTCACCATGCGGAGTTAGTATCCCTTGATATATCAAAGGCGTTCAACAGAACGTGGACGCCTGGCGTCATCAGGCAGCTCATCGGCTGGGGCCTGAAAGGCCACATCACGCACTTTGTACGGAATTTCCTCCTTGATCGTACCTTCCAGGTGACTGTCGGGAACACTCGATCAGATCCGTTCCCCGAGGAAACTGGAGTGCCCCAGGGATCCGTCATAGCGGTTACGCTATTCCTGGTGGCAATGAACGGGGTGTTCAGCCGACTGCCCAAGAACGTGCACGTAATCGTCTATGCCGATGGCATACTCATCGTCGTAACGGGACGAACGACTAAACGGACCAGGAATATTGCCCAAGCAGCTGTCTCCGCCGTCAGCAGGTGGGCGCTTTCTGTTGGTTTCCAGCTCTCCGCTCCAAAGAGTGTACGGTGCCATATCTGCCACTCGGGCCATCTGATTCGGGAACCACCGATCACCATCCAGGACCATCCAATTCCGCTTAAGAAAACAGTACGTGTTCTGGGGGTAGTTCTGGATCGGACTCTAAGTTTCGACCAGCACTTCAGATCGGTGAAAGAAAACTGTCGTAGCCGCATCAATATCGTCAGGACAATCTCCCGCCCGCACCGCTCCAGTAACCGCGAGGTCCGCCTTCGTGTCGCCCGGGCTGTTATCGACAGTCGACTTTTCTACGGCATTGAAATTACCTGCTTAGCCACCGAGAAGCTGAACCGCATCCTCGCTCCGGTATACAATACCTACGTACGCATCGTATCCGGCCTTCTACCTTCCACGCCTGCAGACGCTGCTTGTGCGGAAATCGGAGACATCCCTTTCCGCTATCGATCTGCTGCAGCTACTGCTACGAAAGCCGCTGCCCTCGCTGCTAAGACATCCGGGAATGATAGGGTCTTTCTCCTCAACGAGGGGAACAGAGCCCTCCGCACTGCAGCCAACCTTGACCTCCCCCCGGTGGCCAGGGTCCACTGGCATGGAGAGAAAAGTTGGCGATCTAACGTTATCAAAATAGATAAGCGGATTAAGAGAGGATTTCAAGCCGGAGATAACTCTGTAGCGTTGAGGCGTTCAGTTGCAAAACTTCTTGGGTCGGTCTATCCGGGGCACGTTCCTCGCTTTACGGACGGATCGCGATCACGGGCTGGAGTGGGACTCGGAGTGGCAGGACCAAACTCCGCAACAAGTCAAAGTCTACCGGAGGAGTGTTCCGTTTTTTCCGCAGAAGCCGCTGCTATTCTTGATGCAGCCATCACTCCTGCAGATCAACCGATCCTTGTGCTAACGGACTCACACAGAGTCATCCAGGCGCTGGAAGCCGAAGCCCCGCGCCACCCCTGGATACAAGCCATTACACGATATGCCCCACCCTCAACCGTTTTTACGTGGATTCCCGGGCACTGCGGTGTTCCTGGAAATGAGGCTGCGGACAGGCTGGCGGGATCCGGTCCATCTGGTCTCCGCTTCACCAGGAACGTACCACTCCTAGACGTCAAGCGTTGGATCGCGAATATTATCATGGAAGCCTGGCAGGAGGAATGGTTTCAGTTGCGGACCACTTTCCTGAGAAAGATCAAAGAAACCGTACGACCCTGGCTAGACAGCCACAAGTACAAGGACCAACGGATCATTTCAAGACTCCGGACCGGCCATGCGAGGATTTCCCACAATTTTGGTGGGACACCCTTCCACAAGGTTTGTCCAATCTGCAGCATCCCTGCCTCGGTGGAACACGTGCTGTGTGTCTGCCCAGAGTTTCAAAGGCTACGCGAACAACACCGACTCCCAGAGAACATCAGGGAGCTACTTGGCAACGACCCCTCGACGCTGGCTGCGCTGATTGCTTTCTTGAAGGACGCCCACCTGTACAACCAAATCTAGCACTCTCGTCGTTGGCTGCGCTGTCCGTGTTCTTCCACCTTCCTATTTTCCTGCCGTCGGGGTATCTCTGCCGAACTGTCTCACTGTCTCTTACGGTAGAGCTCTACCTTGTTCGCGCATCCATTCCTCACCACAGTCCCGATGTAACTCCCATTTTACATTAAGTTTTTTTTTTTTCAAATGTTGTTCCAGAGCCAGTTTTACGTTACGTTAATGTTAGACTGAAACGTTTCCTTAGAGGCAGGCCCTAAGCCTGACCTTCTACTATCAAATGTGATGAACTAGCCTACGGCTAAAAATCACAAAAATAAAGAAAAAAAAAAAGTTTTCACTTAACTTTACACAAGTTTCTAAACGAACTTGGACGTCTGTTCTCTGCGGATTCGTGGAAAATAGTAAAATAAGATAACTCCCGATGGAAATTAGCAAGTTGTGCAATAAAATGTCCATTATTTTGAGTTTTGAAAATCGTCATTATGATCACAGAGAACAGACATGGAGGCTGGAACAAAATTTCTCTAAAAACTTGTGTAAGGATTCCTATTTGACTTCTGCGCCATTAACGGCGACTTCCCCACTTAAAAACCTTCTTTGACAACATGATGGCGCTGGCGTTGCACAAATTACACTAGACACTAAGTGCTAGTAGCGCCAAGTGGCAATTTTCAACAGAAAATTTATCGATACTAGCGCCAAATTGGTCGAAAGTGGAAAATTTAGAGAGAAAATCAGGAGATGCTAACACCACGTAACGGCGACGTTCCCACTTATTTTACACAAGTTTCTGACCGAGCTTCAACGTCTGTTCTCTGTGTTATGATGCAAACAAATGGATTGGATGACATTTCCTCTCAAAATCGGCTAGCGCACTCTACATTAATGGTGCATGAAAAGAGCCTATAGGTAACTCTAATGGTGGTAAGCTCCAACTCGGATTAACTTTTAATACCGTCCCTGTTTGGATGATCTGCAAAGTGTTTGCTTAGAGTCGTGTTGAATAACTCTGTTGTCGACATCAAAGCAGCCGGGCATTCTTAATCGGGATTTAATCCGAGGATAATGCCGGTTGGAGCTTACCACCATTAGAGTCGGTGTATAATGAGTCACACCAAGAGTGAAGCCAAGTCTACCTATTGAACTGTCAAACCGGCTACCTATCGTGCAAAGTAAACAAGCATTACGATGCTATGAAAGGTCCACGAAAGGTATTGCAGTTAAATATTAAATAAAACCGAAAAAATGATCATATATACGCCACAGAGAACAGACGTTCAAGCTCGGTCAGAAACTTTTGTGTAAAATAAGTGGGAACGTCGCCGTTACGTGGTGTTAGCATCTCCTGATTTTCTCTATAAATTTTCCACTTTCGACCAATTTGGCGCTAGTATCGATAAATTTTCTGTTGAAAATTGCTACTTGGCGCTACTAGCACTTAGTGTCTAGTGTAATTTGTGCAACGCCAGCGCCATCATGTTGTCAAAGGGGGTTTTTAAGTGGGGAAGTCACCGTTAGTGGCGCTTAAGTCGAATAGGAATCTTTACACAAGTTTTTAGAGAAATTTTGTTCGAGCCTCCATGTCTGTTTTCTGTGACTACACACTAAGTGCTGTTAGCGCCAAGTGGCAATTTTCATCAGAAAATTTATCGATACTAGCGCCAAATTGGTCGAAAGTGGAAAATTTAGAGAGAAAATCAGGAGATGCTAACACCACGTAACGGCGACGTTCCCACTTATTTTACACAAGTTTCTGACCGAGCTTGAACTTCTGTTCTCTGTGAACGAAGTGACAGACGACTAACTGGCGAACAAATCAATGGATCACATCATTCGAGCAGTTTAAGGTTCAACAAACCATCATTGTTTTTTCAATCATCATCAAAAAATGAAAAGCAGTTTTTTCATTCAAATTCAAAAATCTGCAAACGAAAATGTCATCATTGCATTCTACTGGCCTACCGCAACACAGTGATGACATTTTCATTGGCAGAATTTTGAATTTGAACGAAAAACTGCTTTCGATGATTGAAAATTCAATGATGGTTTGTTGAATCTTAAAATGACGTTTCCTACCACTCGGCTTTAACGTGGAACAATATATTTGATATTTTTTCTTCTGCAACCTCGAGAAAATATGCTTGAAAAATCTGAAATTTATTGTTTCATGTTCGTAAACTCGCTGGTAGAAGGTCGTCCCAAAACTGCTCGACAATATGATTAATTGGCAAATTAAAGTTGGCACTCGTGGAGAATAGAAGAACTATGAGAGTGATGATGGTTTCAAAATTTTACACGGTGAGGTATACGAGTGCAATCTTAAAATGCTTTTATTTAAATCTGGTTAACTCACTCATACATCTAGTTTTCACTGGAAATCCTATTTATGAGTTCTCATTGCAAGACAGCCTATATTACGTGATATAAGCTGTAATGTGAACGGGGTATTAACACAGAGAACAGACGTTCAAGTTCGGTCTAAAACTTGTGAAAAGTTAAGTGGAAACGTCGCCGTTACGTAGCGCTAGTATCTCCTGATTTCCTCTATAAATTTATCTCTTTCGACCCATTTGGCGCTAGTATCGATAAATTATCTGTTGAAAATTGCCACTTGGCGCTACCAGCACTTAGTGTCTAGTGTAAGTTTTGCAACGCCATCATGTTGACAAAGAGGGTTTTTAAGCGGGGAAGTCGCCGTTAGTGGCGCTTAAGTCAAATAAGAATCTTTACACAAGTTTTTAGAGAGTCTTTGTTCGAGCCTCAATGTCTGTTCTCTGTGGTTTAGGTTCAGTTTCTTTTCGTTCAGTTCGTACATAACATTGGCCACCTTAAACCGTGCGTCTGCGTTGTCCCAGTTCGTATGCAACGTTGATCTCCGCAGCCGATTTCGATCTCCGGAAGAGTTCCGGTTGTGGATCTAAAATGCAATAAGATGTGTTTCGATATTCCTTTTGCCGAGGTTTTTGTAGTCGGAGGGATTCCATCGCCTTCCATTCGGGTCAGTTTGTCTTGGTTCCAAGACTCACTGGTTCCAAACGACAACAAACCGTAAGCAACGTTGTTTGTAACCAAAAACAGATATGGAAAACCAATGAGCGTAAACAGGTGAGGCCCAGAAAATTTGTCGTCTCTTTCGTTCTCCGGCTGATTAAATGGATGACGGAGTTTGACGTTACACTCCTTCAACCGTCTTAACAGCGGGAGAACGAAAGAGACGACAAATTCACTGGACCTTACATATATTAATCGCATTGATTGATGTTCAGTAGGCCGTAGCACATTCGGCCCCTGCTTGGTTCTTGTATTGGTTCGGATTCCACTGCTTGTTGTGTTGTTTCTTCGCCTTCAAAACAAAACATTTTAACTGTCTGATTAACCGCGTTGCCAAGAATGCCATTATTCACAAGCAATCAAAGTCAGTCTGATGACTGTGCCACTGTGGCACTGCCGGCACACTGAGAAAAAAGTAGGTACAAAATAAGTGTGTGTTATACAAGTTTTCAATGTAGTTAGTACTTAGACAAATTTTGCTATCTTTGTAATGACTCATCTTACCTACCAATCCTAAACTTACCGATTCAATCGCATTTGGTGTTATGCTTAATTTGAATGTATATCGCCCAACCGGGAAAATGCTAATAATTTCGGCATATCACTTCAGTAAATTAATGGTCGAACTAAAACTTAAAAACGTTAAAGTGAAACACGAAAATGATTGCCAGATTATCTACATTCTGTATTGTGATGAGTTGGTCAGTCAAAACCAGTCCCATGAATCCCCTTTCGGCCCTTTTTCACACACGCAGAGCTGCACAAGTTCAACAATACATGTATAACTGCGGACTGCGCTCGCACAAATCCTCGATTGGCACAAATTTCATCCATCAAACTTGTTCCTCTTTGTTAACTGTAATGTCATGAGTTTTTTTTTTGTTTGTTTCTTATTTCCTTCCGTCAAGAATTATATATATATACTTTGTTCTACCATTTTTTAATTGAATTCTACTTCCACTACCATAGATATTCACTACTGCCGTTCTTGATGCCACATTGTATCATCATTCCAATGCTCCTTTCTTCACTGTCCAGAAAAGAGAGCTACCCATAGAAAAAAAAAACGATTAAATATCGAAATGCAATACGCAACAACTTGTCAAAAGTACGAAACAATGTACACATTTGGTTTGTCTGTGACTGAATGTGACAGTAGAAGGAACTGAACTGCAGCATCACTTATTCGAGAAAGTAATACAGAAAAACTATTTGGCACAAAAATTGCATTCCTTTTACGCTGTCGCCCCCTCTTCCTGTTCTAAATCTTCCATTTATATTTAAAAAGTTATAAAGAACCCGCACTGCGTGAATTGTATGTATGTACGTTACGTGTGTTTGTATATATAAGTTGTTATACTCTATGTTATGATAATCGTTTTATTTTTTTGGCACATTAACCACGCTTCTTTCTGTTAAATGCAGTTTTACACATGCTGGTTGGTAAGGCCCAAGCACAATGACAGCGGAAAAGCCTGATCTGAGCAAGTCTATTTGTCGGATTGAAAACTAGTTAGAACCAAATCGACTTCGGTAAGGCATCTTGATGTCATTTTTGACAACTGTCAAACTTTCCGTTTCCGTTGCACTTCCACCTACATTGCGTTTGGGCCTTTAGGAATCGTTTTTCCCCGCGGTTTAGGTATGTCACAGACAGACGTTCAAACAGAACCAAATTTCATCGAAACTATAATGATCCTCAACTGATACAAACAAAAAAAATCAAGCGGTGGCTCTCAGATGTTGGTCAGGAAGTATAAGATTTCAAAAATTCCACTGGATAGTTTTTCAAGATACAGATAGAAGAAGTTCATTTTGAAGATTTTAAACCTAGGCCGATTCTGCGTGGTGTGTGAGGTGAGGTGACAGTGAACATCAGGTGAAGTGACAATTGGTGAGTCTCAGTACAAACACAGAGAACAGACGTCCAAATACCACCAGAAACTTGTGTAAAGATAAGTGAGGTGAGGTGACAGTGAAGTAATGGTTAAGTGACAATTGTCACCTCGGGTGAGGTGAGTCTCCGTGCAAATCAAATGGAGAGTCACCTCACGCGAGGTGACAATTGTCACTTCAGAAGTGACAGCGTGTCACCTCACCTCACACGCCGCGCAGAATAGGCGCAGAGAACAGACATTGAGGCACCGACAAACCGACATGCATGACCATAACAAAAACAATAAAATTTCTGACCAAAGCACACTACTGCCATCTGGCTCCGTGTTCGCGGGAAATATTTAGCTAAGCCATGAGCCTGCATGCAAAAGTTATGAATTGGTTCGTGTCTGATCTATTCTGGACGAATTATTTTTATCTAGATCAAAAAATCCTATGGTTTTGACAGTTCGGATCACTGCACATTTAAATGGACCGTTTACGATTTTAGGGCATAAGTCAGAATTAAGTGTCATGTCGGTTTGTCGGTGATTGAGGCTCGAACAAAATTTCTCTAAAAACTTGTGTAAAGATTCCTATTTGACTTAAGCGCCACTAACGGCGACTTCCCCACTTAAAAACCCTCTTGGACAACATGATGGCACTGGCGTTGCAAAACTTACACTAGACACTGAGTGTTGGTAGCGCCAAGTGGCAATTTTCAACAGATAATTTATCGATACTAGCGCCCAATTGGTCGAAAGTGATAAATTTTTAGAAGAAATCAGGAGATGCTAACGGTATGTAACGGCGACGTTTCCACTTAACTTTACACAAGTTTCTGGTCGAGTTTGGACGTCTGTTCTCTGTGGAATAGGTCTACTGATTTCCTCTATAAATTTTCCACTTTCGACCAATTTGGCGCTAGTATCGATAAATTTTCTGTTGAAAATTGCCACATGGCGCTACTAGCACTTAGTCTCTAGTGTAATTTGTGAAACGCCAGCGCCATCATGTCGGTTTGTCGGTGGATTGAGGCTCGAACAAAATTTCTCTAAAAACTTGTGTAAAGATTCCTATTCGACTTAAGCGCCATTAACGGCGACTTCCCCACTTAAAAATCCTCTTTGACAACATGATGGCGCTGGCGTTGCAAAACTTACACTAGACACTGAGTGTTGGTAGCGCCAAGTGGCAATTTTCAACAGATAATTTATCGATACTAGCGCCCAATTGGTCGAAAGTGATAAATTTTTAGAAGAAATCAGGAGATGCTAACGGTACGTAACGGCGACGTTTCCACTTAACTTTACACAAGTTTTTGACCGAACATGAACGTCTGTTCTCTGTGTTAATACCCCGTTCACATTACAGCTTATATCACGTAATATAGGCTGTCTTGCAATGAGCACTCATAAATAGGATTTCCAGTGAAAACTAGATGTATGAGCACAGAGAACAGACATTGAGGCTCGAACAAAATTTCTCTAAAAACGTGTGTAAAGATTCCTATTTGACTTAAGCGCCACTAACGGCGACTTCCCCACTTAAAAACCCTCTTTGACAACATGATGGCGCTGGCGTTGCACAAATTACACTAGACACTAAGTGATAGTAGCGCCAAGTGGCAATTTTCAACAGAAAATTTATCGATACTAGCGCCAAATTGGTCGAAAGTGGAAAATTTATAGAGAAAATCAGGAGATGCTAACACCACGTAACGGCGACGTTCCCACTTATTTTACACAAGTTTCTGACCGAACTTGAACGTCTGTTCTCTGTGGTATTATCCTGAAATATATCTGATTATTATATTACATTACTCATAGTCGACAAAAATTTGCTCAACATTTTAAAAATCCTTCGGAAGTCTTCTTCAGTTTTAACATGTCTTTAAACATTTTCACAAAATATGCAAATGTCTTTAAAATGTCTGCAGGAAAAAAATACTTCTCAAAAGGCAGCGCCACCTGGAAGCTACTTGCTACTTGAATGTCTGATTTGAACTGACGGTTATGGCATTTTACACACGATGAGATTCAAGCTTGAATGTCTGTCTGCGGGTATGTGCTGTGATCCGATGATGACTAAAGATGTGATCTGGGGGAACGGAAACGGATTTTTTCGATACAACATCCAAAGTTTTTTTTTACGCACACCGACTGAGGTATTCTATTTGATTTTCTCATACTGCTCGAGCGCATTGCGCTCACTAAACGGAAAATCGATGATAACCCGGTCCTAGATCGATTCAAACGGTACATAGCTACTTTGAAGTGGCGGGGGTTAATTGATTCTGCTCTCTAGTCGTCTAATAATGATTACTAATTCATATACCTCCTAAACAGTGGGGGTTTTTTTTTCTCAATAAATGTATGCCTTTGTTATCGGTAAATTTTTGCTATTGTTTCTGTATGTCTTTCTTTTTTCTTCTTCTTCTTTAATTAATATCTGTCACTGTAGTAAGCGTCATTGAGTTATCTTCTTTTATCAGTTTCGTTCACAACTGCAATTTTTAATATCTTTGTTGTTGTATGCTAAGTGGTAGGACTAGTAATTGTTTAATTTGGCCTATTTGTTTTCTTTTATCTCTGATCTCGCAGCATTCCTTTCATGGTTGGTGAAGGTTAAGTCTAGTTGAAACAACTTTCCCCTAACGGTGTTTTTTTTTCTTCTTTGTTTCTCCCTCTTATTCCGAGTAAATTATTAATACTTTAGTTTGTTTACTTTTAAATGCGATTTGGTAAGACAAATTGAGCTACCTAAAGGTTAGTACTTTTTGCTGTAATAGTTGTTGTGGAAGTCAAAGAGATCTGATTGAAAGCCCTCTAGTAAAAAATTGGACGCAACTTTCAAAATGCACTGTTTTTCTCGATTGGAACAGCTTTTTTCGTTTTTCAGGTGACAGTCGTCCATACTTTTACTAGATGGTTTTAATCTGATTTCCCTTTTTTGTGTATGTTTGATTCCGTCGAATTTCAACAACAGACAAAAGTCACAACACAGTCTGCCATTTATTACTATAACTTGTTGTTTTGATTTTCGCTTTTATTTAAAAATACCAAAGACCGATCAACTCGTATGCGTGGAAAACTAGAGCACTGACTGTTAAAACTCTGTCAAACTTTGCGTGGTCTATCGAAAGTAGTAGTCGATAAAATCAATATCAAAAATAAGTTCTAGGTTAAAATTTAGTATTGGCTTGAACGAGCGTTTGTGGGTCGACTCCCTGTGGTCATTGGTACCCAACTTCCGAGATCGTTGCCCACACCGTGCGTGGGATCCGATAAAATTAGTTTTTTTTTTACGTTTATAATACTCACTATGATTGTATGGAATTAGATCTTATAATTTCATCAACTTAAATAGATTTATAAAAGTCTCTCTACGATTAAATTCCAAGTTTGTTTTTGTAGTTTTCAATTGCTAATAGGTTGCCGTAATTGATTTTATTTTTCTTTTATTTTAAACGCTTCCGCTGGCGGAATCAAATTTACCTGTTAGTCGTCACGTTTGAACTACTGTAGTTTCGATTTACACTGTTTGCTAAAACAATCAACCAACTGGTACATATTAGTTTCTATCATGTTTTTCCCCTATTCTCGATTAGCAGCGTTTCCCCGATTGCTCTCTAAAACACCACAGACAAGTATAATCAACACGCCTTGTCCTGGCACTAAACAATCAAATATTGCTTCAACATATAAACAAAACTATCTCCCGTGCTACTATGGTAACATTCAGTGGATTAGAAACACCGTTCAAAAGGGTCTTGGCACAAAGTTCCACGCGGCCTTTGCTTTTTCGAAATAAACAACCGCGCCTAATGAAAGACCGCAATGTTAATCCTTACAAGGATTGAGTAAACTGGTTAACAAAGGTAGCGTGGAATTTTACGGAAATACCCGTACACTTACGTTGCTAGTCGAATTCTAACCCCCGGACGCCAAACTCCATACCGTCCTCGTCGTCGTAGTCGAACAACTGTATCAATTCAGAACAACCCGCTCCGCCTCCTCCTCCTCCTCCACCAGTAGCGCCCTCCGGTAAGGCCCTCTGTTACACAATCACCTCCATCCGGTTGCCTTTGCGCTGGACACGGGTCTGATTGTATGGATTGTCCACTAGGCCTCCGCATTTGAACGTAAATACCACCGTCTGCTGGCCGAAGTTAGCCTCGAATCTAGAACAAGCAAGTTTGATACAATTTTGAATGCAACCTATAAGGAACCACACGGTGTACATACTCTGTGCTGATGACGATCTCGGGAGATTTGGCAGTTGCATTCTGGATCACCAGGAACAGCTTCGTAACGATCTCGATCGAGTGGGCCGTTTGGAACACAAAGTCACCCTTCTTCCGGCCGATTTCCGACTGCGTGAAATTGGGATCAAAGACATTTAAATTTATGTAATAATATTTATAGTGTAGCAAAGACAATGTTTAAGTTCCGATTCTAAGAACACTAACTCGCATTTAACGTACGTCGTAGGAAACCTTGAACTTTTAAATAAGAACCAAAAACCCCTAAGCCATTGAAGAATCAAAGTGACGATTGACTCTCAGATGGCGAGTGGGTGAAAATGGTAATGACGTTTTGATATCTGTCAAATGGAATGATTTTTTATAGAGATTGCTGACGTTTGTCGTACGTAGTGTGCGTCACGTATACGTATACGCAAAATGTTTTCATCGGGAAAAAAAACTTCATAGCGGAAAATTTTCCCGATGAAAACAAATCACTTACACAATCATACTTTAGCAATCTCTATAGTACATCATCATTTTTGTAATTGAGAAATCCAACTTAAACTCCTGCGCGCCAGGTGGCAGGAATAAGCACTAACCGACGGTGATACGTTTGTGACAGCCCTTGATAATTTCATGGATTGTTTTCAAAATTGATTAATTTCAATGTAATTTCATGCAAATTTCTATTTAGAATGGATTAATCTTGTACAAAATGCATAAAACTATTTTGTAATGCATTGTCCCTAAATAAAAAGCTACTATAAGACTTATAAATTACAGAAAACATGTTAAGGTTTGAAATCATCTGCCGATTAAACAGAAGAAGAAGTCGGCCGACTAAATCCCTCGACGAAAAACTATTAAATAGGCCGATTGCTCGGTGTATCATCAAACGAAAAACGATTTAATATGCTGATTAATACACCAACTAAAATTAATTACAAGTGGCAATAGATTTAGTCGGTTGGCGAATCGGGTGATTTGGATGATGTTTGTTTATTTGGAAGATATTTTCGAAACAAAGCACGATAAAATTCAGCATTATATACTATTATTACGAGTACTACTTTTTTGCTCGGATCATGTTTTGACTTCCACAGAAACTCGCTAGAATAAATAGAAAATAATAGTTTTTTGGATGAAATTTCAAAAATGTATTCAGTTTGACACATTATTTCGGACTTATCACCGCTACGATTGCAGCGTCACGGTGGTCGATTGAAACTTGGATTTTTCAATTGCGGATGAAGATATTCAAGTGGACAGCCTTTCGCCCCCGGATCCCAACACCCATACACACTTAAAATCAAAATCTGTCCTCGGTGAAATATATTGCCGTAACAGTTCAGTAAACTGAACATTTGCCGAAGTTTTGTTAAACATATAGTTCACTGAACATCGTATCTGGTTTTAGCCAAATTTCGGTAAAAACAATCATTTACCAAGCTTCGTCAATTGTAATCACTGATCTAATCGGAAAAATTTCACACTGCCGAAATCAGCAAAATAATATAATGAACTATACGGCATTCACATTTTGCTTAGCCGAAAATACTTAAAATATCTTCAACGAAGACGGACACATAAATAACTGTCAGGATTAAATTAGGTTAGGTGCGAATGAAAATTTAAAAGTAGTAGCGTCGTAGTTCAGAAAAATCAGTGAGGATGATTGCCCCGGGATGAATCTTCCTCGACGGAAGAAGCAGCACCGACAATCGGAGATCAGATGTCCGATAACGAGTACTACGAAGAGGATGAAGACGACGATCGAACTACCTTCTACGGAACCACAGAACAGAAAGGGAAGTGCAAACAAATCGGTGAATCAAAAGTGGTTCGTTTTTCTGCTCAACAAGCGATGTGTTGTGTTAGCGTTCCACATGGGCTTTCTATGTGCACTCACACTATCATAGCACGCTGCGTATCTTAACTGCAGGCAGAAGATGCCTTCTACCGCTAGGTGCGCTAGTGTTCGCAAATGACAAGTGGAGCCACTTTCTGATCCGAAGTTCCACTCCTGTGACGGAACGCTAGATGCGAAGCAATCAGTTTCTAAAATTCCTTGCAGTGGCTGTGGTGCATTGCTGCAATTGAATAAATCCAAGCAGCAGCTTATGACCACCATCTGCGAGAGGTGCCAGAGATGCCAGATTACATCCAGGGTTATTCTGCGTGGCGAATGAGGTGAGACGACTCGAGTCACTCGTGTCACCCGATTCCAGCTGGCGAGTGAGGTGAGAAAAATCACTTGGGATGAACCCGGTGAACTCTCACCTTATTCTCACAGTCGTATTTCGGTGACAAAAGTCGTACTGAAGTGACGATTTTAAGTGACAAGAGTCGTAACCTCCGCTGCAGCCGACTGGACGGAAAACCTTAGAGTTCTATAAGCGATGGTTGCGGTTTTCGGTAATTTATTACTTCTAAATTTATTTCAATCAATTTTTTTTTGTTTCTTCGGTTTCCTCAATATGGGTATTCTTGGCATAGGAGTACCGTGTAGGAATCGGAAACCCATGTCTGAGGCCATTTTGAATTCAAGATGGCGGCTTCCGGTGGGAGAAAAACTTGAAAATTCTGTCAAATACCCCTCAATATGGGTATTTTTAGAATTGGGGTGACGTATAGGGTCCGGAAATAGATGTCTGACGCCATTTTGAATTCAAGATGGCGGCTTCCGGTGGGAAAAAAAACTGGGAATTATTGCCAAATTACCCACAGTAGGAGATTTTTGGAATCTTGGTGACGTGTAGGGTTCGGAAATCGATGTCTGAGGCCATTTTGAAATTCAAGATGGTGGCTTCCGGTTGGAGAAAAACTTGAAAATTGTGTCAAATATCCCTCAATATGTGTATTTCCAGAGTGATTTGAGAATTTGGGCGTAATTACTTTTGTAAACAAACACGTCAATTACTGATTTCTCTTGAATAAAAGCTCAATCTCGCAAACAAACTATACCAAATGATGGAGGAATCATTCCTCTACCTCATAGTGTTATTACTTTTCGAGATCGAGCTTTTATTCGCGAGAAATCGGTGATTGACTTGTTTGTTTACAAATGCAATTACGCCCAAATCTCAAATCACTCCGGATTTTTAGAATTGGGGTGACGTGAAGGGACCGGAAATCGATGTCTGACGCTATTTTGACTTCAATATGGCTGCTTCCGGTTGGAGAAAAATTTGGAAATTCTGCCAAATACCCCACAAAACTGGTATTTTTGGAGTCGGGATGACGTGTACACACTTAAAACCAAAATCTGTCCTCGGTGAAATGTATTGCCGTAGCCGTACCGTAAACTGGAAATATGCCGAAATTTCGTTGAAGATACATGATTCGCCGAAATTTTAGGTTTTTTTTCAGCGAAATTTCGGTAAAGTCAAACATTTACCAAGACTCGTCAGAGGTTTTCACTGATCTAGTTGGCAAAGTGTCAAACTACCGAAGTCTTAAAAACTAATTACCGAACTCTACGGCATATTCATTTCATTTTGCCGAAAGTACTTAAAATACTTGTCAAATCAGAAACGGCCATATTCCATGTTTTCAAATTGCCGAGAATACGCAAAATAGCTGTCAGAACGAAACGAACTGTTGATAAGTGCACGCGTGTGTTATATTGTGTGGAAGCTGCTGAAAACGTTAAAATGGAGGAAGTACATCGTCAGCTGGATGCGGAGGAAGTTAGTGTAAAAAGTCGAGTACTTCAAACCCTGCGTAAGTAATAAATTTGTTTATTTCTTTTTAGACTAATTCTAGACCGAAAAACTGTATTGTTTGCTTCTTTTGTAAGCAGCAGGTTCCAGGTTATGTTGACGCCTTACAACGTCATGTCAACTACCATTTAAAGCAAAACCATTTTCGTGCTGATGTTATTCTATACAACTGCACATTTTCAAAATGCAAACTGAGCTATTCCCACTTTACTTCGTTGAAGCGACACATTCTTTATTCACATCCGCTTAAATTGAGTAAACAACCGTCAAACATTCCGTTTATTGACGACCCTTGTGCATCACCAAAAAAAATGAGGTTAGGTTTTCCGACTTCTCTTGAGTTTTCTGAACCTCAGTTGGAACAAATGAACGTGCCGGATCAAATGAATCCTTGTGAAATATCAGTGGAAGCAATAATTAAAGTAGCCTCACTAGGAATTTGTCGACTTTTGACAGACGTCTCTTTGCCTCAAATGAAGGTCGAAGAAACTATAAAGCTCTGCGAAAACTTAATCTTACTGACAACGCAACACCTGCAGCAAGAAACAAGGCTGTATTTAAAAAGTATTAATATTGATACTAATTCTGACGGTGTGATAAATTTTCTTAACGTATTTCACCTTCCTGATTTATTCGCAAATGTGTCTACTCGAAACAAGCAAACACAATATTTGGAGGAAATGGCCATTACTGTACCCAAACCAGAAGAAAAAATGCTTTCGTATCGTGAGGATGTTCGTCACGTCTATGGACATCATAAAGTAATACGCGTAAACGAAACGTTCTCTTACATACCTATTATCGATACATTGAAGTTAATTCTTAGAAACCCAGAAAATCGAAGATTGCTGAAAGAAACTGAACATCATTATCCATCTCACTCTTGGAGTACGACTAGTATTAAAGAGTATAGCTCCTTTTGCTCAGGAGAAACATACAAAAACAGGGATTATTTCATGAAGTACCCTGATGCCATAAGATTATCCTTATACCAGGATGATGTAGAGCTTGGAAATGCATTAAGTTCCCGAGCAGGCATAAACAAAGTATCGTGTATCGATTTTAAAATCCAAAACTTTCCGGATAAGTACAACAGTTCTCCACGAAGTATATTTCCTGTTATTTTCTGCACTACGCTGGACGCAAAGCACCACGGATACAATAAAATAATGCAACCGTTGGTTTCTGATCTCAAAAAGTTAGAACAAGGCGTAACAGTGTACTATGGATCCGATAAGTACGTTATCAGAGCAGTTCTGTCGGTATTCTGTGGTGATACACTTGCTGCACATGAAGTATTCAATTTACTTGGACCGGGAGCTAACTTGTTTTGCAGAATTTGCACTATTTCGCGCCCGTTCTATAAAGAAGACCCTCATAGAGAATTTCCACTACGAACAAGACAATGGTATGAAAGTCAGATGAAGTTGTTAGAAGAAGGACAAATCTCTCTATCAGAATGTGGTCTCAAAGCTGGTGGTTGTATTCTAAATGAATTAGAAAACTTCCATATCACTGAAAATTTTGCATTGGATGTCATGCATGATGTTGCTGAAGGCATTGTACCGTTAACAGTGCAATTGGTACTAAGTACTTACACGAAGGACAAAAATGTTGAAATAGACGTTTTGTATATCAACTACCGTATCAACAGTTTTGCGTACGGATATGTCGACAGGAAGAACAAACCCTCTGCTAATTTTACAGAAGAAATGCTGAAAAAGCCAAGTGCTTACAAAATGAAGCAAATTGCAACACAAAACCTTCTGTTGCTTAGAGCATTTCCATTCTTGTTCGGACACAAAATCCCTAGTGATTGCCAGTATATATTGATGATTGGCCATTTGATTAATATTACGCGAATCCTCATGTCTCCAATAATCTCTGATCATCTATTAACTGAACTTGAAGAGCATGTCAGACTTTACCAACAATTGTTCTATACAAATTTCAACAAACGGATTAATAAAAGTCATCACTTGGAGCATTATGTGCATTGTATCAAGCAAAGTGGCAATATGAAACAGTTCAGTTGCTTTACTTTTGAGCAGAAAAATAAGTCGTTTAAAAACCAATCAGCCACATGCCGAAACTTCAAGAACATTTGCAAAAGTTTGGCCAAACGACAGAGCTTTAATATGGTTATCAATTTACTTGATAATCCATTTACTGACAAAATTGTATACAAGACCGGAATCCTAATGCTACCTAAAAACAGCAAAAGCAGACATTTTTTGCAAGGAAACGATGAACCCGTGTTTGTCCCAAAAAGCGTTACAATCAATGGGATAGAATTTCGACCTAATTTAGCAGTTGCTTGTAAAAAACCTAGCATGGATCTGTTTCCTCTATTCGTCGTAATTAAAGAAATAGTTGTAGTCGACAACAAAATTAATTTTTTGGTGCAGGAATGCAATACGACAGACTACAGTGAATTCTTTCAAGCTTACGAAGTTGAAATTAATGAAAGGGAGCAATTTGTCAATACTGATGAAATTCATAACCACTCCACCTTCACCTTTTGGATGCCGTACAACAGTAAAAATAAGTACATTTCTAGGCGCTTTTACCGCCGAGATAACTGAAAGAATTAGTGTAAACACTGTGTTATTATTCATTACAGGAATATTATTATACCTATAATTCACTTTCAGATGATGAAGAAATCACCAGCCTTGCACTATTTATGTCGCTAGATGACACCGACTTCACTCGGCTGAAATTAAAAACTAGAATAATAAAAACAATACTGAGAATACAAATGCACTTAACGTCTAGCCAGCAGATAATTGAAGAGGAATACCTTGAAACAGCAGAAGAAACAGAGGAAATCGGTGCAGCAGAACAACAAGCAAGCGAAGAATCGATCCACCTCGCTAGCCGCTCGAGCCAGATAAATCCGTATGAAGGAATGACGTTGGAGCATGTAAGTTGCAAAAAACAGCTGATAATCCACTCCGTTTGACACACACCAGCAACATTAATCAACAGGTAGAAATATGACAGCTCCATGCACCATGTAAACATCACATTGAGCTGAATCTATAATATCAACAGGGGTAATAAAGTGTGGGAACCCAACGTTGAGTATAATCATAGTCACCTACTTTGGGTACTA